CGGCTGAAAAGCTGAGAATCTGCAGCTGCGCCAAACAGAGCCTAAGTCCCCACATTGGGACGTGGGTCAACGAAGTTGTTAGAAAATCTGTTTATATACAAATATTGAATCTTTTTGAAAAAAAAAAGAGAAAATAAAATATTTGAACCAGAACAAAAATAATTATTTTTAAATATTAAAAATTATTTATTTGTTTTCAAGTCGAATGTGAGCTTAATTTGAATAAACTCAGACAGTTAACCAGCTATTTCAAACACCTTACTTCATTTCAAACGAGCCCGAGAAGAATAGGAGCTCAGCTCGCTCATATTCGGCTCGGTTACATTCCACCTCTAACTACCCTGAAAAGCTCCCTCAGTACGGTTCTGTTTGGGGCAGTTGCAGTTTATCCAACTTATGCTGATAAGTAGCTTATATTGATAACCTGCTGATGAGCAGCTGATTTGGTTGCAGCTTATCCAACTTATGCTGATAAGTAGCTTATATTGATAATCTGCTGATGAACAGCTGATTTGGATAAACTGGCTGGTTGTTTGGTTTGTGCGTTTGAAGGACAACTGATTCTGGATAAATAATCATTCTGCCCCTGTTCTGGATAAATTGTTTGACTATTTAGTTTGTGCTTTTGAAAAACAGCTGATTTACAGATTTTTAGAAATAAAATTCCATTACATTATAAATTTTAATTCTCAAGAAATTATTTCAAAAAATTATTTTTAAATTCTGCGTAACATAAATTCTAATAAATAATTTACGTTTTACACTAATTATAAAATAAATTAATTTAAATTTAATTAAATAATGAAATAACAAATTTACATGTCGCCACAATTAACACAAAGTACAGAAACATATATATAGATTTGTTGCATGACAAATTTGTAATTTCATAACAATAGAGAATTTTGCAGCTCCCTTCACTTAAAATAGAGTTCAAGATACCAAATTAAAACCAAAATACATATTGAAACTACAATTAGTAACAAAATTATAACATTCAATTTAAAATGTAACAGTAGCATCTCATGAGAACTAAAGTGATACTATTAATTTTATTAAACTCAAAGAACTAGCACATCATAATGGTGGTTTAAAGTATTTGTATTTGCCATATCCTCACTACATAACAAAAATGCAAATTTGATGAAACACAAGGTTGCTAAAGCAGCAAACCATAGTCCCGGGTGTAGTAATACCCGTACGGATGCCTTAATCATTTTCCATTAGCAAATTTTATCTAGAGGGTCCAAAGACCGCAAATTACGACACAACAAGAGCAATGTAAACTAGAGGGAGTCCCTGGCCATTAGGGCTGTCTATTTGGCTCATTATTTGTGAACAGCTCGTGTTCGGCTCATTAAACACAAACTCGAAAAAAAAATTATATAGTTTTTTATATTACAATATATTACATATATTATTTATATAATAATATATTATATATATTTATGTCTAGGTTTAAATCATAACACCTCATGTGGCAATGTGGTCAGTGTCTTCTTTTGTATAGATTTGATCAAGGTTCGAATCATACACTTTACATCTATTTTTCTCAATTTTAGTTTAACGAGCTAATTTCGAGCCGAACACGAGCCGAACACAACATAAATATTTAAATCGAGTCGAACACGAACACACTGTTCACGAGTCGATTTCGAACACGAGCCGATTTCGAACATGAGCTATTTCGAACGAGCCGAACACGAGCCCGAGCCAAGCCTGAGTTTGCTCAAGCTCGGCTCGTTTACAGCCCTACTGGCCATACGGAGTGCAGCGTGCATGAAAATATATTAAAGATGAAACAAAGAAGTTTTAGTTCGCCAAATTGCTAAGAGCTCAACACAACAATAGGCTAGGCTTTCAATAAAACCATAGATGATAAGGTTGGTAACGGGTATGCATTTATTTTCAGGCCCGGTTAGGTCAAATGTCAGCTATTCTAGAGCGTTGAACACATCACTCTTATCCACTTCTGTCACCACTGATGATAAATTATCAAAATTAAAGATACAACTACAGAGTAACAGATCAAATGGCTTGCATTAATATAGTAATGTAGTCCTATGATGAAGCAAAAGAACATGCCAAAAACAGCTACCTAGCTCAAAAATCAGCATATGAGTGCTCTAGCATAGAAGGATACTGGATTCTAAAACTATAATTGTTACGAAACAAATTGGCAAATAAAAAAGATTCTTTTAAGTGCCTGCAAGGAAATAACAGGGTACAGAAGTCCAACAATTACATCCAGCAAAAATGAAGATCTACCTTTATCCCATTTACAATGTGATGCTATTAATTTTCTCTATCCCGTTTTATTTGACAGCTTATACTGATAGCAAGGATCTAATTAACATCAAACTTAATAAACTAAGTAGTGTTAGAGATACCCATAAGACATTTACATAAGTAAGTGAATCAATCAACACAACCACAGATCTCCAACCAAACACAATGGATCTTTATAGCAGCGAGTGTGGCTTCATTCCAGCAACTAAAGGAGATTTAGCAATTCCTGGAGAAGAAAATAGAAGTAGCAGCTTACCAATAAATTCTATGTACACCGCCCCCAAGCAAGTTACCTTGTTGGAGCTTCCATCTACATTATCTTGATCCAATGTTTCGCAAGTTTACTCTAACAAATCTAATGACGTTTATGTGCATTCTTCCTACTATGAGTAGGCTTGGAGAAATTAAGCTTACTTGCAATGCTATCCAAGCAATGCTATCCAAGCAATGCGACCTTATGACAGTACTTAGCAGCCATGAATTGTGCACATAAGGAATCAGCTTTTATAATTTTCATCCATAGCTTCAAGAAATTGATATTCATAGATTCATTGACAAATCGGAACCTCAATCCTCCCAGATTAACTGAATTACAAGTGTTCCTCCAGGTGGTCCAGCTGGTTTTGCCATAAAAACTTATTAAACATTCTTTCCATTATTTTGATTGTAGTGGAAGGGATTTGTAAAATTTGGACTGTACAAAGACGTATATATGTAAGGATACTCTTAAGCAAGTTCATTCTACCCCCAACAGATAGAAATTTGTTCTGCCAAGACTAACTTATTTTTAATATTTTGTATCAACAGCTCAAACTGAAGTGTTTTCCTTTTGCTTTTGAATAATTTGTTGCCAAGATAATCAAATGGCATTTCCTTTTTAGTAAAGTTAGTAATACTGTGAATCCAATTTTTTTTGGATAAAGGAACAGTAGCACCAACAATTAAATGACATTTTTTCTCATTGAATGAAGACCAGAAACTTCCTCAAAGATAATCAGAGATGCGGCCATTAAATAAAGGAGCAGACACATTCTAAAGCTAAATAGATGGAGAAGAGGCATGCTAGTAAAGTGCAACAAACGGCTTCGAACAGTAAAGCTAAGACTTGCTATCCTATAGCCTTCAACAAACAAATGTCAATAGTAAAGCGATAAAATCATAGCTTCGGTCACAACCAAAAACAAGACAGCAACGGCTATGCTAGGGGAGAATATACTTGGCTTTCGGCAGAGGAGGACGAAGGGCGTCAGGAGGAGAGCGGCGGAAGATGTGTAGGAGGGAGGAGCCTGGATTTCGGCAACGGAGAGCAACGAATGGCTTCGAATGACTTTCAATGAAGGAGAGCGAAGCTTCCTGGCTTAGGTGGCAAGGGCTAGGTTTTCTCTTGAGTGAGAGGGGTATAGGTGTAAAAAGAGGGGCAAAAGCTGGGTGCTAACGCTGATCGCGGGTATAACCCCGCGACCGGCGTGTGATGGAAAAAATTAAACGCCGTTTTCATATAATCTCTCCAGACGTGCGAAACAAACAGGTAGGCGGCATTTTGAAAACGCCGCCACACTTATAAGCTGCCCCAAACGGGCCCTACATCTATTGAAGATAATTACCTAAATCATTAGGAGATATTCACTGCTATTCATCCATATTCAAATGAAACAAATATATGGTCAATTCATCAATTCAAATCTAAAAAAGAGACATCCGTCCAAAAAACTCATCTCTATCAGAATAAACTTCTTTAAATTACAAAATTTAAATGTAAAAAAAAAAGCTAGCTTTACAGGAAAATAGTAGTTTCTTTATGTTTCTCTGCTAATTTAATTTCACCTACCCGTTCTTCTGGGCAGCAGCTTGATAAAACTCATCTCACATGACCACTCTTTCACCGATTTTCTTCAACAATCTCAGGTTCCATCTCTTTCAACATAGGATCCTTAGTAGTAAAAACATATTCAAGCGGAGTCCCCTCTGATTTTTGTCTGCTCATAACCTTGCTCAGCCTTTTCCCCTTCATCTTCACCTTCTGCGCCCATCCCACAAGACCCTCATGCACATGTTCCTCAAATATAACCGGTTTGAAAGAACTCCCCATCTAGCCACAATGACGATAACTTTTCAATCATTCTGACAAAAAAAAAATGTATTCTTTTGAGTAAGAATGCTGCTCACCTGGGTGACAATTGCATAAAGAGGTAGGGTGCTGTAGCTGCAAATGATCTGTACCACCACACTGATGAAAAAGATGAAAGATTTCAGAATTTAGGAAATATAGCAGACATGGTTGGGGACAGAACAAGAGCAGTTTCTTGAGTTTAGCTACCAAAGTATGAGCCTTGGGATGATATACTTTGTACCATCAATGATGCAGGAGTGGTATCCGTATGTCACCTGCGTATGTATAAGAATGTTGAATCAGACAGAATTTATACCTTTTAATCAAGTTTCAGGCTGAAACAGATGATGGAATGAAGTTCTGCTTTTTCTATGAATAATGAAGTTTTGATTAATTTTGAACAGCTTGAGATATGGAAACTGTTGCTTACCAATATCCATAAGAAATATGCAATCTCAAAGGCAACATGGAAGAGAATCAGGTGGATGAAGTAGAGCATAATTCGAGGCCGACCGAACCAGAAATGGTCATCTGAAGGCTTAACCACCAAATCTCCTTCAATGGCTGAATGCTTTTCAGCAACTTCATGAGCCAACTGAGAGATGATGTGCACCAATTTGGTACCGACAGAGAAAAGTAGCTGAAAATGTGGGATGGGCATGACTATTTTAACATGAGTGAAGGAAGGCAACCGAACGAAAATACTAGTAATAGCCCAGCTTTTAGACTGCTTCATTTAGTAGGCATACTTTGTTGCAAGCAATTATATTCTAAAATCTAAATCAAACATGATTAGGCTTACTTACGATCAAAGGAATGAAAGACAACCAGAAATATGCATGCCACCCTGCAAAGAATTATAGGATAGAAGAGAATTATAGTATTAACGTAACTGAAATAGAGCTTAGAACTTAAAATCGATTAAGAAATAATAGCTATATCTAGAACCAAAAATCAGTCATGCTTAATAAGAAAAATTAAATGCAAACAAAATTCAACATCAGTTTGGATAACTGATTAGAGATCTCCCTTTCAGCCTGTAGGATTCTTGAAGGATTTTGGAGACTTTATCGGTCATTACAAAGACAGAAGACCTCATGTGAGGCAATCAAAAATATAAAATTAATTGTAGGATTTCTTCTCTTTTTTTGTTTTGTATGGGTGTTTCAAGGTATAAGAATGGTTGAAATATTCCTTCAACATTTACACCGCTATTATGAGTTTTATATAATTGTTAAGTAGGTTAGATCCTCTCTATTCTCTCGTAGACATAAGCTTGTTTGAAAAAAAGTAAATACTAAATGCTTGGGAAGCATGAAAATTTTACAGTAGAGAAATAATTAGTATTGATGGATCCATCTTTGTATTGAAAAAAAGTATGCTTTGGAGATCGCTTGCATGAGTTCATAAGTGTAATGCTAAAGTCTTCAAGGCTTTTTGGATCTTAAAGAACTTGGGCTTAGAGGTAAGCACAGAAGGGATTCAATTTTGCTAGAATATTGAGTTAAGAGGAACAAGTGTAAATATGACTCAATATATTTCTTTTTTTACACCTGCATAAATGCTGAAATGGGAATCATGAAATTAAGATTGGAACAAGATGGAAATATTCTTTTTGAAATGCATGCATGGAGGGATCTAATATGATGGAATTTGAGTCATGATTGCTTACCCTTGGCTCTTGTGAATCAGAAGAAAGATTGATAGTTTTGTTCCAACTCATAACTTATTTGAAATTAGCGTCGATTTTAGTTCAACTTGAACAATTTTGAGTGGAGTTATGAGTCAATATCTCAACTCTACCCTTTTTTCAAGTTGATATTTAACTTGGCATGGCTTATTCAAAATTTTCTTGAATTCGACATTAAATATATACTGTCTAAGATTTTAATTAATTTCTAAACTTTTAACAATTGACTTCATTAATGGTTCTCTATCATATATAATAGAAACTCAAATGTCTCCTCTCATAAACATAAACTCACTAGAAGAGTAACTTAGAATCGGCTCGATTCAAAATATATTTCAATTTTGAGTCAAATTTGAGTACTCCTGAACTTGATTTCAAGTATATTCTAACTTGTTTGAACTAAACTTGATCTCAACCTTAAATGAGAGTTACACAAAGAACTCTTGGCAATTGGATATCTCTCTCTTTCCTCACAAACCGATTAACAACTAGGATTCCTGGAGGATTTTAGGAACTTCATCGGTGCACTAAGAAGAAAGCTTCATTTGAGTTAATATTGCTTGTGAGATTAATTGTAGGACTGCTTTGTTTGTGTGTGGGTATATTTGAATTTTGGGAAGATCTGCTAGTGTCCTACTAATTTATACATTATAATTATAACTTTTAAGCTTTTTATTCTATCAAATTTGTTTACCTCTCTGAATATAGGTTTAGTTGATGCCAAATAAGATAAATTTTGATGCTTTATGTGTTTGATTCCACTTTAATTTTATGATTGTTTGTAGCACATAGTTCTCAGCTTTGGTTAATTTTTCTACGTTGTGTCAATCATTAAGGAAAATATTGATAAAAATCATTAATATTTATGTATTGTGCCAAATAACATAACTACTGTGCTAAATTTATGGCTCAAATTTTGTGGGTCCTACAAGCTGTCTCATAAGAAAATGAAGAGAACATGGATTGAAGCTTTAGAAAGAAATTGTGAGCATATGGATTGAAGCTTTGGAAGAAAATTGTGAGCACGTTGATTAAGGTTTTAGAAGAAAATTGTGAGCACATGAATTGAAGGGTTTGACTGTTTGATCAATCATATAATAGCCTCTAGATTACAATCCGGGTGTTATTGCTTTATTAGCTCCTTTTAATTATTATTTATTAAAAAGGTCTTGCTAAATACCATGAATACGCCATTTTGTTTTGTAGAATGTACTCACTTTTCCTTGCTTTGATTTTAAATTGACCAAAGCTCTCCACTTGTAATTTCAGATTTGATATGGTGAATTCTCATCCTCTGTCAGTGATTTTTACAATCTTGAATTTTCCACATAAAATTTGTATATTTTTTCTTTTGCTTATTTCATTATTTAATCAAATTATAACAAATGTATCAGATCCAAGTTTTGATCTTGATGATGGAAATAATGAAGTACGATGTCCCTCTATTAAATTGCAAAACTAGATTTTCACTTTGACAAGTTAAGATGTAAGTTGCCTTAGCAAAGATGGATCTAGACGATGTGTTACTTAGGTTCGAAAGGATGCCCTTACCATGGATGTTGGGGGAGAAGCAACGTAAATATTGAAAGGATCTTTCTCAAATTTATCTTCATCTATGAAATCAAATTCTAAAGAGAGTTTTGAAGGAGAAGACTGTAACTGTGTTATGGCTGAAATTAAAGCGATTGTCCATGATGAAAAGTCTGACAAGTAAGTTGCACTTGAAGCAACATTTGCACTCTCATAAGATGACCAAAGGTGCATCTATTACTTATCACCCAACTGCCTTTAAGGAAATCAATTCAAATTTAGAATCTATGGAAGTTACGTATGAAGAAGAAGGTTTGATATTAATCCTGTTACACTTGTTTCCTCCAACATATATAATATTTAGAGATACAATTTTGTGTTGGCAAGAGACATTTACTCTAGATGAAGTATATGATGCTTTATTTTTTAAAGAAAAGATGAAGCAGCTTGTAGATGAACTTGGTGATCAAGAAAAAGGCTATGTAGTTTGAAGAACTCAAGAGAAGAGTTCCTGTGTTGATACAAAGACTAGATCAAAATTCATGGAAAAAGATAATATCAGCAATTACAATAAGAACAATGAGCATGTTAAAACTGAATTTTATAAGTTGCAAAATAAAACTAAGAAGACAACTTCAAATTAGAAAGATAAATAATTAGATCATTCTATTGAAGCCAGTGTTGTTGAAGAAGTTGCTAGTGAAGGTAAACTACTAGCTGTCTCTGCAGTGAACCTTATGAAGATTGGGTTCTTGATTCAGCCTGCACATTTCAGTTGTGCCCAATAGAGATTGGTTTTCTACATATAAAATGGTGTCGCGTGATATATTTTTAATATGCAATAATGCTCCGTGTAACATTATTAGTGTTGGAACTGTTAAAATAAATATGTTTGATTAAGTCATCAGAACACTTGAAGATGTGATACATTTCCTAAATCTAAAAATTAATCTAATTTTCTTAAGTACTGTTGATGCTAAATGGAATAAGTGCTCTGATGAAGGTGAAGTTTTAAAGGTCGACAAAGTCTCTCTTATTATGATGAAAAGACTGAAGAAGGTTGTTGGACTATATGTTTTGCAAGTCTCTACAATGATAGGTGGTGCAATAGTTACTACTTCTTCCAAATTCGATGATGAAGCAACCAGACTTTGGCATTTGAGTCATGGACATATGAGTGAGAATGGAATGGTCGACTGGAGTAGAAATATAATTCTAAATGGTCAAAATATTATTAAATTAAAGTTTTTTGAGCACTGTGTATTTAGAAAACTGAAAAGAGTTAAGTTCAACACTGGCATCATAGCACCACAAAAATATTACACTACATATCTTCTGATCGTTAGGGAGCATCTGCAACACTATATGTAAATTGTGACAAATATATGTCGACGTTCATTAATGATTTCTCCAAAATATGTTCGAATTTTCTTCTTGAAGCAAAAGAGCAATCTTTTTACCACTTTTAAGAAGTGGAAGCTTATTATCAAGAAGCAGACCGGAAAACAAACAAACGTCTTCGCACTAATGAAGGGTTGAAATTCTGATCAGGAGAATTCAAAGTCCTCTAAAATTATTAGGAATTATGAGAGATTTCACAGTCCAACACACCTCATCAAACTGGTATGACAGAGTGAATAAACAAGAATATAAAAGTTCGTTGCATACTCTCCAACGGCAAGCTACTTAAGTCATTTTTGGCTGAAGCTGTTTCTACAACTTGTTACTTAGTGAATCGCTTTCCTTCCATTGCTATTGCCAAGAAGACTCCAAAAAAATTTTGGCTAGATAATCCTAGAAATTAATTTAATTTAGGAATCTTTGGCTACCCCGCATATGCTCATATTAATAATAGCAAATTAGAGTATAGATCTATAAGGTGTGAATTTATTGATTATAAAATTAGAGTTAGGGTTTTAAGTTATAGTGTTCGGAAATCAAAAAAATGATTATTAGTAGAGATGTTGTATTTGATGAGTCTACCATGTTATATATAATACCTACACAAAATATAAGAGATGATCAGAAGGAGATGTTTAGCAGATACATGAAGCTTTATATTGAAACATGTACATCTTTGGGCATAACTTCTAAGTCAAATCCAAATAATCATTGTGATGCTACTTTCCCACCTCCATGATAACAACCACCACAATATTATATTGCGAAGAATACAAGAAGAGAAATTAATTTAGTCTCAGAGATATGGTGAGGTCGATTTGATTGCTTATGCTTTAACTATAGCTAAAGATATCTAGTGTAGTGTAGAATCTTCTTGCTATAATGAAACGATATATTCAGTTGACAATAGTAAGCGGTTGATTATTATGCAAGAGGAGACTGAATCCTTACAAAAAAAATAAGACTTGGGATTTGGTAAAGTGTTCTCAAGGAAAGAAACTTGTTCGTTGCAAACTGTTATTTATGAAGAAGGAAGGTACACCAAGAGTTGAAGATGCCATATATAAGACTAGGATTATTGTAAAGGGATTCAATCAAATTTTAGTTGTAGACTTTACAAATGTATTCTCTCTGGTGGTCAAAGATAGCTCAAATCAAGTTTTACTTGGTATTGTGGCTAAATATTATTTTGAGCTTGGGGGCTGACATGTAAAAACTATATTTTTGTATGGAGAGTTTGAGGATATCTATAGCAACAACATGAAGGCTTCGTGGTTATAAAATGAAGATCATGTTTGTTCATTAAGGAAATCCTTTAACTATCTGAAACAGTCTCCTATTCAGTGATATAAGAAAATTCGACTCATTCATGATTGCTCATGAGTTTAAGAGAAGTAGATATGATAGTTGTGTTTACTTCAAAAAAATAATAAAGGGTCATTTATCTATTTGCTCTTATATACCGATGATATGTTGATAGCTGCTAAGAATAAAGAAGACATTAAAATGATAAAAGCTCAACTTAGCAATGAGTTTGAGAAGAAAAATTTGGGAGCTGCAAAAAAAAATTAACGTAGAAATTTAGAGATAGAAAGTCAGGTAAGTTATTTATGAGTCAGAAAGGGTACGCTGAAAAAGTTTTGCATGGGTTCAATATGCAGATTTTCAAACCTGTTAGTACTCCATAACCTAAACAATTTAGAATCTCATCAACATTTTGATCACAATCAGATGATGGGATTGAGTACATGTCTCGAGTTCCATATTCTAATGCAATTAGATATCTCATGTATCTTATGACATATTCTCACCTAGTTTTATCATATGCAGATAGTGCAGTGAGCAATTATATGAGTAATCTAGGTAAGAAGTATTAGAAAGCAGTTCAATGAATCCACAACCATCTATGTGGAATAAAAGATGCTTATTTGCATTTTGATAAGATTACAAATAATATCATTGACTATGTTGATTCGGATTTTGTTGGAGATCTTGATGGAAGGAGATCATTTCTTGGAAACGTGTTTACTATTAGACAGTGTGCAATTAGGTTGAACACTAATTTACAAACAACAGTGACACTATCTGCAACTAAAGTTGAGTACATAACAACTATTGAAGGTTTTAAAGAAGCTCTCTGGCTGAAAGGTCTATTTGAAGAATTTAGTGAAGATTTAAAAATCACCACACAAATGTGTGATGGTTAGAGTGCTATTAACTCAGTAAAGATAAAATGTTTTATGAGAGAACTAAGCACATTAATATTCGTTACCACTTCATTCGTGAAGTTATTGCTCGTGGTGATATTGTTGCGAGCAAGAATGGTACCCATGATAACCATACAAACAAGATGACTAAGGCACTCTCAATAGCCAAGTTTGAGCATTGTTTAAACTTGGTTGTTGTGGAAGAGATATAGAAAATTCTATACTGCATATTTAAAAATTCACGGCAAGATGGAGATTGCTAAATTTGTGACCCAAATTTTGTGTGTCCTGCATGTCGTGTCGTAAAGAAGTTATGAGCACGAGGATTAAAGTTTTAGAAAGAAACTATGAGCACGCAAATTGAAGCATTAGAAAAAAACTGTGAGCAATCAACTTAAAGTTATAGAAGGAAACTTTAAGCACATGAATTGAAAGCTTTGACTGTTTGATCAATCTTATAGTAGTCTTTAGATTACAATTCTTGTGTTATTATTTTTTTGGCTCATTTTAATTATTTTTTTTTAAAGGGGGTCTTGCAAAAGACTATAAAAACCTCATTTTGTTTTATACAAGCTACTCACTTTTCACTACTTTGATTTTATGTTGGCTAAAGCTCTCCACTTGTAATTTTAGCTTTGATATAGTGAATTCTCCTCCTCTATCTGTGATTTTTCTCATGTTGGGTCTTCCACGTAAAATCTATCTTATTTATTTTGCTTATTTCATTATTTGTTGCATTGATTCACTATCAAATTATAACAAATTGGTATAGTTCGTTAAGATGACTATCTAAATAGGCATATGAGATAAAAAGAAATAGAATAGTTTTTGCATAATCTCACCTCCAACATTCAGGAATAAGAAAACAATCACAAATATCCAAAGATACCAACTGCAAAGAGAGCAAAGAAAATTAAGTATGAGGACAAAAATAATAGAAAAAAAAAATATTAATCTTATAAAAACATAGCACCATGCTTTAATAAACTTTCAAAGTATAATTTTGTTCAGAATAACCTTATGCCAACCACTTTCTTGAAATCAGCTTCAACTGCTCGGACCATGTATTTGTGAAAATCAAACTTGAGATTACCCTTGCAATGAGCCTACAAGGAATATAATTACTAATTTAACAAAATATGAACGCTTCAAGATATCATAACTATCCCAAAGATAATTAAGAAAAAAGGAAAAATAAAAAGTAAACTATTTTGCATAACTATCAAATTTCTTACCATTACGAAACCCAGCCTCAATGTTCTATAGTCCGATTTTGTCACAGATCCAAAGATATGCTTACAGAAAGAGTGCTGAAAAGAGTTTGATAATCAGTTTGGTAATTGCAAAGAAATGCATTAATTACTTAGGCTTGAGAGCACTTCAATATGCATAGAATAGGAGAAGAAACCAATTAAAATTCCTATTTACTTACATATCTAACATCTAAACTTTACTTTCACATCTATACTACCCAAATCTTTCATATCACAAAAAAAATACCACCGTTTTAACTTTTTAAAAAGTGAAATACACCTTTTCATGCATATTTAAGATGTCATATATGTAAAACTTGAAGTTTAGGTGTTAGACATGTAAATACCTAGGAACTGAGTGGTATGTATGTAAATTTTCCTAATCTTTAATAACAATCTTCTTAATAATTCAATAAAAAGCTGAACTGCTCTTTGTAATTCAAGACATATTATTTTGATTTGCAATGTAAAAAAGCAGCATTTAAAAATGTATAAAGTGTCAAAAAAGTCACATGATTGTTTACAGGGGCCATTTTAGTCTTAAAGCCTATAAAAATATTAAATTTGTCCCAGACTTTAAATTGGGGCTCAATATTAAAATTGTCTAGAGACTAAATTGACACTTTTATATACCTTGGGCCTAAAATGACAACCCTACAAAGAATTAGGGACTATTTTGACACATTTCTCATTTAAAAATCAATTTTTGCCACAATCTTGTGGACAGGTATTCGATATTTACCAGCCAACCCAATATCAAAGAATCCTTGCCGATGCCAAGAAAGTGATCCCTGATAAATTCAGTTTCCTGGACATGAGTAATTATTGGCGATGTTGAAGCTGCGTGTATATCATAAAGGATTCAGAATGAATGAGTTAAGAAAGACATATTTTTTCTGACTTTATAAATGCTGTTTAACTCCACAATTAGATTGTTCATTAGTCCTTACGTAATATGCATACCGTTTTCTACAGCATCTCTATGAATTGAATCTTCCCAACGCTTCCATTGGCGTATCTGATTCATATGCAAACATAAGATTAGATTCATCAATGAAAGCATTATTTATAAAACTTAAAGATCCATGGCGGAGTCATAACAAATAGGAAGATTTTAGTTACCTTTGCTCCGCCTAAAAACATAGTTAGAGCACTGAGAAGCACATGAGTTGTTGCCAAAGCAAAGATAAATATATGAAGTTGATGGATTGCTTCAATAGATAGCAGTGGAACTTTTCCCTATAATATAGATGGTTAACTCAGTTGTTGTAGAACTAGGAGTAAAAAAGCTTGTTAGATAAAAAATAAATAAATCAGTTTTCTAATCTACATCATGGAAAATTAGTGAAAATGACATTTTTAAACCTTAAAGTTTGAAAGTGCTATGAGATATGATTAGAGGGAAGATGAACATAAGGATCAATATGACAAGTTTGCAATTTTAGTTCTCTAGTATTAAGTAATATTTTTTAAGGAAAAAAGGGTCTAAACAAGAGTTCGCTGAACAGAAAAGAAGGAATTCAATGAACATCAAAATCATTTGATGTTATTTCAACTTTGGATATTTAACACTTTATCACATACGATCAAGATTAATCTCATATCAAACGTTACAAAATATATATAGTAAATGGAAAATTATGATTGTGAAATAATCTAAGAGAATGTGAAGTAAAATATATGGTGTTTTCAAATCAATATGGATTTAGCTATTCTTGCTGATGAATAAGGGAAATAAAAAAAATTAATCTTTTTTTATTTAAAAGGATTCCTTAAGATTGATGCATTTGCTTCTTTTCTCTTACTTCCAAAGCCACAACAAACCATAATCATTAAATAGTGTTTTGCTTCCCGGTTTAGGAATTTAAAAATCTACAACATATTATTACATCAAGTAAAAATGTTAAGCTTGAAGTCTCGATTACAGCAAATATCTTGGACAGGATTTGAACATAATTTTTAAGATTAATTACTATCAACTCATCAACTCATCAACCCATAATCCATTTGCACTTAGCGTTGGCTACATAATTCACACTTGCTTTTTAAATATGTTGGTGGCTACTCAATTTACATTTTATCTTTAAAATGGTGGCTACCTGACTCAAACTCTATTTATATTTAATTCTTATCACCTATGAGAACTATATAAAGGTGAAATAAACTAATGGTTACAAGAACCCCACCATTCCATTCAAACAAGGAAAAGAAGAAATGAAAATAAAAGAAGAGACGGGAAGAAACTTTCACAATAGCAAAAATAAAAATAGAAAATAAAAATTAAAAATAAAAAGAGAGAGAGAGACATTGAGGAAAAACTATAACAACATCTTGTTTTCCACCTACGACTATCATCCTCACAGTAAGTGGTCATGTTCTTTCTCAATCATTAACGCATTTAAAGAGATAATTTTATCTTTATTTAAATGAAGTATAATCTATCTCCACATACAACTTCCAAAGCTTAATAGAATATTTCATTTTTGTACGAAGGTGGACACAACCAAATAAACTTATTGCATGTGTTTGAGATCTTCGATGTATTTGTTCACCCTCTTTATTTGATTTTGATTGAAGTTTTATCAAGTATCAAAACTTTAGTTTAAAACTCTTTCAAATTCAAGTATGGAGGAAAATAAGGATCAAAATCAACAAGTACAATGGTAGTAGGATGATTTCGTTTTGGAAGATGTAGATAGAATATTATTTTTGCCAAAGGAAACTCCATCAATCACTAAAAATAACTATAAAGCCTCAATCGGTCAAGCAGGAAGAGTGGGAGATAATGGATAGTTAGGCTCTCGAGGTCATTGGTCTATCCCATAGCTTAAACATCATATTCGACATTATGAACATGGTGAAAATAACATGCATAAAGATGTTTTCCGATATATTGAAAAGTCGATAGCTTGATGTGCGAGGTTTTTTTAACCTTATGATGTAAGAAGAAGCTCCAATCATCAATCATATCATCAACTTTAACTTAATCATGAGATAGTTAAACCCTGTAAACATTAAATTTGTGATAAAAACTATACATTTAGCTTGCTATTCGAAAAAAATGCATGCATCCTTCCTATTCGAAAAAAATGCATGCATCCTAACCTTCCTATTCGAAAAAAATGCATGCATCCTAATATTCTAAACCTCCCTGAATATTCATCGACTAATTGATAATTCATCATATTTTAAACTAAATTTTTTTAAGTTTATGCTTTGAATTAGAAATGATTGATAGAAGACAAAATATGTATAAGAAATTTGACCAGCATTGAGAAGGTAAACTCCATTTTAATTACTCATTTTAATTATTCATTTTAAGCTAGTTTAAATTACACATGTTAGTGGCTCTTTCGATTGTTTTTTAGTGATATGAATAAATAAATAAATCTGAATCTCTACATTCGATCTTTTCTCACCTTAAATAATTCAATTCATTGGGTCGCGTTGGGATAGTAGGTATAGTCAATTATACTTATTTTTATATACAATTGTCTCTTTTTTAGTTATGAATCAACCTAGGCTAATACTTTTAAGCCAATTCTTTTAACTTTTAAATAATAATTAATCATACTTCTTAGATAATGCAATATCCATTTTATTGCTTCCTACTATTTTTTAATAAGCTATATTTGGATGATTGTTTTTTAGTGATATGAATAAATAAATAAATCTGAATCTCTACATTCGATCTTTTCTCACCTTAAATAATTCAATTCGTTGGGTCGCGTTGGGATAGTAGGTATAGTCAATTATACTTATTTTTATATACAATTGTCTCTTTTTTAGTTATGAATCAACCTAGGCTAATAATTTTAAGCCAATTCTTTTAATTTTTAAATAATAATTAATCATACTTCTTAGATAATGCAATATCCATTTTATTGCTTCCTACTATTTTTTAACTCTAAATTTGACATATAGTTATTAACTTGTCTTACAGCTTGAGAAATATATAATCTTATGTAGATCACTACATATACAAGAGATTCAACGATTGACACATAAGGATCATCATACATTTGCTATTTTTTTCTCCTTAATGTTTTGTTTGCTTTTTGGATCGTCTTAAGTTACTAAAAAATGACACACTCATAGTCTTTTGTCTTTATTATATTGAACATGTCTAAAATCTTTTTAATATACTGTGATTTTGAATGAATTCTATAATTAAAATGTTACGTGCATAAATTAATAACAAGTACATTCTTTTCATATTCTTTTCACATAACAATGGTGGTCAACATGACATCTTTGAAATCCAATCCTATGCGTGAACCCATCAATATTTGGTACCATTGATGAAATACTTGTTTCAAGTCATAAGCTATAAATAATTTTATTTAACTTGCATACAAGGCTTCTTTTTTAGAGTTTAACAATGTTTATATCATATAAATATTTTACTCTAAGTTACCATGAAGGAACAAATTTCTTTATATACATTTGTCAAAGATATAGACTTGTAGTTGCTACAATTCTTAGTATTAAGCAAAAGGTCATTAATTTAATTATTGGAGAAAATACTTTTATAAAGTCTATACCTTCTATTTATTGGAATCCTTTGAAAATAAGCCTTCTGTTGTATCTTTTGATTTCTTTCTATTCATTTTTCATTTTGTATATCTATTTATTTTATAATCTCTTATTATCTTTGGGTATCTTGGTTATTTTCAAATTATATTTTTATAAAGTAACTTTATCTCTTCTTTCATGGAAAAACCTCAATTGACATAATCCTTTCTTTGCTTAACTTCATTGTGGCACTTAGGCTCTTCTACATCTATAAGTAGTAGGTAATAAAGTAAATGGGAATAATGATTAATTGGTATGTAAGTTATTTATGAATTTTTTATTTGGGTCGTGCGAACATCGGGCTAAAGCTATTTGAGTTTTCTGAGGTGTTTGATATCATTGTTTTGGGACTGGCATCTCCTCTAGTTTAAAATGCTTTGGATGGATGTGTCTTCTATAGTAGCACTTTATTAAGTAATAATCAAACATTATCACTGAAGATGGAGAAATAATAGAAACTGATCAGGACCACGCCTTCATTTTGATAGTCACTCACAATAAGAGTAACCAATAAGAGTACACCCGAGGAGGGTGTGAAAACTATCTCAAAAGATGATCGAGCTGATCAAAGTGGGATGAAGCACGTGAGGAGCAGTATGCCTAGCATAGTATCCATAAGTAAGCTTTTCAGATGTCATGGGTTTGTACACATCACCTCCAATTGCTCTAGTACCAGAGTTGTTACTTTCTCTGAGTAAGGAGCAGTAGAAGTATTGGACAGTGGTGTTAGAAAAATCGAGGATGGTGAGTATGTGCAATACGAGCTTCCAGTTAATAAGGGTAAGATGCTTGGGATTCGATGGGACATTTGGACTGAGGCTATGAGAGAGTAGTAGTGGCTTTTCCACAATATCATTTATACTTGTTGCACTGTGAGTAGCCTTATCATAGATGGAGGTAGTTCAAAGAATGTGGTGTCTATACAGATGGTGGACAAGTTAAGCCTTACTACTCAGAGACATTCCCACCCATTCCTTAACCTACGAGAAGAAGGGGAACATGGTTAGCATTGACATAAGATGCCACATAGAATTTTCTATTGGGGATCAGTTGCATGTCCAAGTGTGGTGTGATGTTTTTTCCCATGGATGTCTGTCACATGATGTTAGGGATATAGTGATCATTTGATTATAAGAAACAACATGATGTGTTCAAGGACACTTACTCATTCATCAGGGATAAGAAGTGCATAATTCTCCTAGTTTATGTGGTGTTTGATGTTATAGGTGCTCTTGCATGGGAGAGTCGCCAGTGAAATTAATTTTGGAAATGTTTGAGGCAGTGAGATAGAAGAGTTGATATCAGACAAAGAAATTACTACTGAGAGAGTTTAAGGATATCATGACCAAAAGCTTACTGCCAGGGATGTCCTCGTTAGGGTAGATTCAGTCCGTCTTTACTTTAGAGAAGAATGAGCTAACCTTGAGCTACTTTTGGAGGACTCCGCAAAATACGCTTGGTTCCAATTCAATTCAACAATCTACTCACAGATTGTTGGATAGAAAAACAAGGTTACTCGTAATTCAAGAAACCTTCTTAGGTATTTTGGGGGATAGTGCATCTGACGGTGTAATTCATGTGCTTCAAGAGATGCTATTGAAGGCCCTCCAATCACGAGAAATTACAACATTTATGCTACATTCAGCGTGATCGACTTAACTTCA